TATGGAGGAAGAATGGAGAGGCCAATCAAGCACAGTAATCCCACAGTCATTGAACCAGTTTTTGGTGCTTTTGGCAAAGGTTGCTCTCATCAGAAAAGAGGACTTTGCACCAAGGAGAATGCATTGAGCTCCCCTGCATAAAAGAAAGGGTCTGAACGAAGCAAATAGGAAGTCTGTGAGGAGGCCTTTGAATGGTAAATGTGACAGGAGGCAGGTGTTTGTCCTGCCTGCCTCTTTTGTCAAAGCATGCCACAATTGTCTATTCTCAGGCTTGTCTTCTTCCCTGATGAATTGCGCATTGGTCCCATAGTTTTATACTTGCCTTACATGTGTATCCCCCTCCCATCGCTTAATGTGTATCCTCACTTTTTTTCTGGCCCATATGCCCTTCTCATTTCCCCTTTTCACCATAAAACTGCACCACTCCACAATCCCAAGTACCACACAAGCAAATGTTGGAGAAAATACGAACTGTGGAGACGTGTAGCTACTGTCAGAAGTAGATATTTACACTGGCATGCCTATTCAGGTCTTTGATTCTATTCCAAAACTGTTTAGAAGTGTCATTAGCTTCCTGGGAACTGTGCTAGTTCTCTTCTGCAGTGTGATATTAGGGTATTAGGAATATTCAGAATTGTATGGTACGTTGTATTTTTCCGCCCCTTTTTAAAAAAGCACAAGAATGACAGTATAGCAGAGTCTTGACTACAGTTGCAATTAGCCATTTCCTACTTTTTTTCCAAGGTGTAGATTAATTTCCCCATCCATTATTACTCTTATCAAAGTTTGCCTGTACTGTCCTACTTACAAATACTGCAAGCTATCCTTTTTCTCTCTGAAATATCACTTATTTGTTTCAGTTAAATGCTTTCTATGACCTACCTTTTTTATTAACTACATGAAACATTAGCCTTCTTTTCAGTGTACATCACTTTCTGGGTCAGTTTAAAATTAATTCAAGACCAAGAAATTAGATTTGCTGTTGTGAGACTACAATTCCCCTATGCGTGTATTACGCATGCCACATACTATATTGTGTTGTACTTTGGTTTTATGGAACTCCCCAATCTATCCTAGATTTCAGATGCTATATATCTGGAGAGATTTTGACACCCTAGTGATCCTATACTTTTCTGGATATATTTTTCAACACTACTTTCGTTAAGTTTATGAAAGTAAATACATTTTCTAATTGTAGCTTTCATCAGTAGAACATAGCTTTTAGCTTGCTGTTGAACACAGTGAGTTGTCCTTGCTTCATTGAGTGCAGCCAACAATGAATTGGATTGATATTTTATAGTGCCAACTTCTTTTTGAAGAACAAGATTAATAACAATCTGTCTATTGAAAGTTTATACTCTTTTCCTAAAGTCAATGTGGTTTCCTTTAAAAAAAACCTCAATGGATAAATAATAGATTTCCATTTAATTTTGAGCTTGGCTAGGTGAGAAGAAGAACACATTACTATAGACACTTACCATTCGTGCAGATGGGGTAAAGTTGGTATTTCCATTTGTCTTCCTGCAGCTGTTTTTTTAGCTCAGAGATCAAGGTGATGAGAAGAGTGATAGAAGTTTTCTATCTCTTGTATATGGAAAGACAGGGAGAGATGAATCATCCTCATAGTTGCAATTAACTCAAGGTTTATATTTAAAGTCTCCAGTCTATTTTATTTAGGAAAGACATGCACAGTGTTAAGTATAGTTATGCAGGGCAAAGTACACACATAGACGTCCTTCAGCACAAGTGGAAGATCACAGGCTAGAAAGGCTATATGCCAGGAATGCTTTAATCCTGATTCTTGAATTAAGCCTGTATTGAACTTGATGATCTAAATGGCTCCTCTCAATTCTGTGATGACATGTATACAAATACATATACTAAACAGTCCATTGTTTAAAAGCATACCCTGCCTCTGTGCATGAGTTTTGGTGAAAAACAAATATTAGAAGAAGCTTTTGTGGAGTAACTGGATAAATGTAGACTATGTAGTACGAATGTCTGATGGCTTTGAAACTGTTTAAACAACCACATCCGAAAAGGATTCATAAATGGATCTGCATCTACCTGAAGGAAAGGACTCTTTTGAGTTTTCCAGAGCTTTGTATTCAGCCCAATGTCATTCAACATATTTAAAAATGGTCTACCTGATACAATCAAAGGGATGCTTATCATATCTACAGATGACATTTGGGGGAGGCATGATAATGTGTCAGAGGGCAACAGCACAATTCAAAGTCATTCTGAACATGGAGCCAAATTGACCAGGTAGGGTGATGTTCAGCTGTGAAATGTGTATGGTCCCTTTAATTTTAAATGCATAGGTATAGGATTGGGAAAATCTGGTTTAGTGAGAGTGCGTGTGAAAGCTGGAACAAAAAGTGTTAGTAGGCCAGCAGCAGAATATGAATAAGAAATCTATTTTGGGTTTTTTATCAGAAGCATTGCATCCAGTTCATTGGAGGTAATAGCTCCCTTGGACTAAATTTATTTATTTATACTGTATGTTGCCTGATTCCTGACAGCTCTAGGCAGTTTACAATTGAAAAAGACCATGAGTAGCCCAAATTCAATATAACTAATAAAAATGAATTACCTCCACTCCCACCCCCAAACCAGGGATTTAATCTTCAGCCAGTTTCCAAGCCTAGGAGAGAAGTCAGATCTTTAATCATTTTAAAGTGGACATAAAGAAGTTACAGTAAATTCAAAGGAGAGCTACCAGAATGATAAAGGATCTGAAAACCAAGCAGTACAGAATTTCTTAATTCATAAAAGAGAAAAGAAGGGGAGATGTGGTAGTACTGTGTATGAAAGGTTGTCCCATGGAAGAGGTATCTGATAAAAAATTTCTCTGACAAAATTGTTTGCAGTACAGCAACCAGAGGTTTGAAATCTAAAGAAAGATCCAAGCTGAGTTTTAGGAAGATGTTTCTAGTAATTAAAAACTAGTAAACAATGGAGCAATCTGTCTAGAATAATAGACTCCTTACTGGAGTTATTAAAAGAGGTCTGGGTGGCTTACCTGTCAGAGATGGTTTAGCCTTCAAAGGGCAGGTTGTTCTAGTAGATCAGGTTTCTTTCTATTTTTTCAATTTACCAATCTATAATTTCATATATTTCAAGTTTAAATCTGGAAAGGAAGGGTTTATACCTGGCCTCTCAAGACACTTCAGGATGAGCAGTTTGAATGCACGTATTTTGGGAGTAAAACAGCAGTGAATTGTCAAGAGTACTGGAGGAGGTTTTCATTTAGGTCTTCACAGCTCCACTGCCAACCACAACTTCTGACTTGTAAGATCAGCCAAAACTTTTGGATGGGTATTGTGTATCCTTTCTTTCTGCTATTTCCAGCATCTTTTAATTTTCACTTGAAAGAGATGTTTGATAATATTGTAATTTTCCTCAATACCTAATTATCACCTTTGTTGTCAAGTGTGAGATATGTGTTTGTCCACTGCAATTATAATTTTTAAATATTTGCAAAGATAAAAGTAAAGGAGGGAAATATTTGAGCAAGCTATGCTATGATGAACATGAACATTAAGATATTTATAACTTTTTCAGCCAGAATGTCAACATTAGATTTAAAGAATATTTAAATCTTTAAAATAATCTCTTTGTTTTGTACTACTTAGGGTAAAATTGCAGCAAATTAATTGTGTCTAATATTAAAAGGTGTTCATTGTCAGCAACCTTTATCCAGAACTGTGCTTTGCATTGAAATGAAGCTAAGATGGTATCACTGCAACACCTTTAAACAGACCTTTTTTTATTGACAGGTTAATGACTCCAGAGAGTGAAATTAGATTTGTCCACAAGCAGATGGGCTTAGTGCCAGGTTGGGGGGGAGCTGCCAGGCTTACCCAAATCCTTGGCAGCAGCTCTGCCCTCAAGTTGCTGAGTGGTGCTGTGAAACTGGATCCACAGAATGCCCTTCATATTGGGTTGGTAGATTCCATCTTGTCCTCATCTGATGAACACGAGTCTCTGAGAGAAATGCATACATGGCTTAAGCTATATACCACAGGCCCTGCTGAAGTCATTCAGGCCGTGAAGAAAGTTGTTTCAGCAGGAAGAGAGCTACAATTAGAAGCTGCCTTGAGGAGAGAAAAAGAGATATTTGGAAGAGTTTGGGGTGGTCCTGCTAATTTGCAGGCATTGGCTCAGAGAACAAAACATAAATGAGACAATTTTCATCTGACTTTCTTCAACTAAAACAGCTGCTGCCAAAGACGACTGGTGGGAAACTTTCCAAATATTATGAACTCAGTAGGTGTTAGCCTTATTAGGACAGCTCTCCTGGAATGCCACTGGCACTGCACTGACAATTAGAGGTGCCACACCAGGTTTTTTTCAACAATGCTCTCATTTTCTGGTCTTGCTTGTTTTTTTTTCTACAGAACCCCACCCTGATGGTACCACTTAATATGAACCCATTTGGAAATTAATGTGCATAAAGTGGTATGCTTTTATAATGTAAGAACCGTAAGACGTGACAAAATAATTTTCCTCAATTTTTAAATGCTGGCATTATGTGTGGTTTGTATATATAGATTTTGTGTTGAGAAGTTGCTTTTTTTTTTTAGACAGGCTTAGTTGACATTGGTAACTTCAAATCTCAATCACTCTTGCAGATAAACACAAATAATTTTTGATTCGTACATGTCATACTTTTGAATAACTAGCTCACTGTGAATTGACTCACAACCCCAAATCAAAACTGAACAATGCCAAATGCTTTTTCTTCGTATTGTAAATTGTTCCTTCTATATTTATAAGCAAAGCTCCTGCCTTCAAGCCTCACATCTAATTACTGGATTCTTGATCTGTGAACAGAACTCTTGGAGACATTCAGTTTCATTGTAAACTTATCTTCACTTTATATTTTATAAAGTTGAAGTAATGAAGAAATATTCACTTGGATGTATGGCAAAATGTGACATTTTTGATATTTGTATACTAGTTGCAACATCTATGAAATTTGTTTAATGGCTTGAAGTCTATGCAGCACATAGAGGTAGTACCAACAATCTAAAGATAACATTCCATTGACCTTACCTGTGCTAATTAGCTTGTATGAAGCATCTTGGATGAACCAGTGTTTTTCAGCTGTCTATATTCACACATTTACTTGACATATGTCATGGTACAAGTAAAGTATATGCTGTAGTTCTCAGTACATTCTACATATACCATGTTTGGCTTACATTAGCTGGTCAGACATAATAGTGTAAACAAGCCTATGCAACATTTCTGATGCACTTCCCAAAATGCTTTGGAATACACGTCATAGTAAATAGAACACTTGAATATGATTTTTTCCAACAGAAGTTCATTTTCCCAGGATATTGTAGCAGTTGGGTTCTGTGTTTTCTGAAGGACTATTTTGGAATCAAATCCAAACAACTGCATAACTTTAAAATTAATTTTGATGAATAAGCTTACACTATAATAGTATTCAACAATCTAGGCATCTGTTGAGGGAGTAATGTCTTTACTTATTCGCTGACGCAGCATAAAACACAGCTGCATACATATCTACTCTAATGTATCAGTATATTCCATTGAACTTCCTACTAAAAGGAAAATGTGTATATAATGTTACAGCTGTGCTCTAGTTCTTAGATGTTAAAGTTTGAAGTAGTGGGGGAATTCATCAATCTAGATTACCTTAACAGACCTCTGTTAAATATTAACTGCTTTTGCTAAAGAAAAGGACTTATTTGCTGAACTTGCCTTTATTACCTCATTTCTATACTTTTCTTGAAATCAGAGTAGGTGCTCTTCCCAGTTGCAGAGAGAAGCATGAAGAAAGTGGCAAGGCCTCGGGAAACGAGAGAATTTTGTTCTCTTAGTTCACAAGATGTGATACCAAAATAAAAATCTAATCTTCCCTCTGGAGGGGGGGGGAGGAGGGAAGGAGTTCCATCATTCACCATTCTAGTTAAAGTTGAATATATAGTTAAGGACATTAGAGCAATTTGGGAGCATCTACAGCTGGGAATTGATCTCTTCAAATCAGCAGATATGTTTATT